GAGCAGCAGAATAACACATTTCAGAGAAACAGACTTGCACAGATTCAGAGAATTGATATATAAGACTTCTTGGGAAGATAAGCTAAGGCATACAGGAGTGCAGCTGCTGAGCGAGATTGGGAGTAGGCTTTTGTACATGTTTTACAACGTGGAAGTGAAACAAGAGTGATAGAAGCAGATCATAATGGTGTATCAGGATCTCTTCACTGACTTGAAGATCAAATAGAAATCATAGGAAGTCCAGAAAAAGAGCGTAAAACTAAGGGTGAATGCAAAGGAATAGAATAAATCTGTAGGGATAAAATGAGAGAAGAATTTCAGTTAAGAAGGGACACACAGGGTAACAGGCAACAGGGCTGAGTTGAGTAAACAAAGGAGGCACATTTCCACTAATAAACAGAAAAAGCATAAATTCCCTGATTCAGAGAAGGTGAAACTGTGCAATAACTTTTCTGCCATAGTGCTTATTGTCTCCATATTTACAAAGATTCATGTTAACAAAGAAATGGAAATTTAGGTCAATTTACCTAAAACAAAAGTTTTGGGATACCTCAGAGCTAAATGTTCAAGTTGGCAGGATGTGACTAAATTCCCCTTCCAGTACTTTTCAAAATAAAGATGAAGTCACTTTCAGACTGCTTTATTATTAACTTTCTGAATGAATGGAGCCAGCTGTTCTGCAAGAGTGTCAGTATGACTATGCTGATTGATCAGGACTAGTAATACTAGGGAATCTCCCTAGCCTAGTCCTAATTTAGTGATCTTTCCTATAAGAGGTTTCCACTGAGGCTTGTATGTCCTTCCTTTCTGTTTCAGAGAAAAGCTTTCCTTCTGCCTTCTTCCTGCTCTGTGCTCCTCACCGTCATTGATAAGAAAATGAACAAGAAATAAACTTTTTTGTTTATGCATGTTTTGCTGAAAGATTTTTCCTTTGGGGTAATTTTTCCCACTTGGCCAGCTAGCCAGCTTTTCTTTTTCTGAGACCTCCATGAGAGATGCTTTAGTGTTTGATGGCTTCCAATTCTATAAGGTATAAAAGCTAGCTTTAGATTTTCTGTTTTCCCTTGACAATATAATATAGGATGGTAGAAGTGATGTATATTAGTGTTCTCTTCTTTTGAGAAGTGATGACAGTGAAAGATTACCATTAATCATGTACACTTGTAAATATTTAGACCTCTACAGAAGAGTAGAGCAATTATTCCTACTAACTTTCTCCATATAATTTTTTGCCATTATAGACAAGTCGGCATGAAAATGCTTTCATTCTTAACTTGAGCAAAAGGTGATGCAGTTCTGTGTTAGGACTCCCATCATGATCAATTTCCTTTGCAGTCAGTCTACATCTTTTCTTTTTCAGTTGTTTTTTAGTGTGCTATGTAAAATACGAGTATTGTTTCAGTGCCATGCATAGTGTGAAATCTGCTGTGTTTGTACAATATGTCGAGTTTTTTGTGTCCTGCATTTGCAGGGGAATTTGAGTCATCACATTCCAAAATTGTCATCTTTTTATTTCACGAAATGTGTGTGGAATTTTCCCACGACAGAGTGACTGTTGTGAACTGGGCTCTTTGGCAGGTATTTTCATGCTGAGGAGCCAGATGGATAGGCACAAGAGTAGATTACCTCCCTGTTTAAAATGTTATGAACTGAAGATCATTTCTTGTTATTTGAATCAGTAAGCTTGTTGAGATCTTTCTATTAAGAGTAATTTTGGCCTTAGCACAATTTTGCATTCTTATAATCACTTTTCTGAATTTAAGAGCAACATGCTTACTCCTGGCTAAGAACTTCAGAGATTTAAATGTTGAAGTAAACATTTGTGCTTAAATAATGGCATTTGATTAAAAAAAAAAAAAAAGATTGTTTTCAGGGCAGAACAAAAAAGCAAAACAAAATTAAACTGCAAATGTCTTTATTAAAACCTCTTTTGTGGTAGAGGACAAGTTGTTTTAAGATCTTGGAAATGCTTCTTGATGTTGACAGAATGTGATCGGAAGTTATCATGTAATGATTTTTAACCACTGTCCACTGAAGTAGCCTGTGAAATGGGAAATTACAGAGTAATGCAGTGCATCTATAAGAATAACAGATTTTAAGGGTGTTATTACAAGAAGAGTTGTTATATTCCTCTGGGAAATTACTGTAATTGCTTAATGAGTCTGACAGAGGTTTTCCACACAAGCTACATTTCTGCTATGTTTCTAAAATACACCCAGGAGAATTATGTGCTGTTCTTCTGTTGCCACTGAGCCTCAGTGTCACCTTCAGGCAGTGCATGTGTGAGGCTGGAAAGAAACCCCACAATTCAGAAAGAAAACCAAAGCTCTTTATAATTATCTGCTTTAAATTGTCCAGACTGTGCAGGAAAACTCACAGGCTGTGGGTAAGATGATTCCATAAAGGTCATCTAGTGGGATTTATATACAGATTATTTCTTAGAAGAATTTGCTCCAATCCTCCAGAGTGAAAAAGACTTTCAGGCTCTAGAGTAATTACTGTTCTTTCAGAGCACATAGTTCACACTGAAAGATAGTTCTGCAGAACGAGTGGGAAAACACATGTTACTAGAGAATACCATGTAAAAAGCTTGGTGGTGGTTTCAGACAAACTTTATTTCTGATCAACAGCTGCATTTTTTAGATTATTTGAACATACTGCACATATAAGGTAATCCTTAGCTGCTGTTTGGAGGCAGCCCATGCAGACAGCTTACTGTGAATTCTCACTGTGAATTCTCACTGTTCTCCGGGTCGGAGCAATCCCAGGCACAGCTACAGGCTGGGCAGAGAAGAGATTCAGAGCAGCCCTGCGGAGAAGAACTTGGGGGTGCTGGTCAATGAGAAAATGAACACGAGCCGGCTTCAGTGTGCGCTTGCAGCTCAGAAAGCCAACCATATCCTGGGCTGCATCAAAAGGAGCGTGACCAGCAGGTGGAAGGAGGTGATCCTGCCCCTTTATTCTGCTCTCGTGAGACCTCACCTGAAGTATTGTGTGCAGTTCTGGTATCCTCAACATAAATTGACATGCAACTGTTGGAATAAGTCCAGAGAAGGGCCACGAGGATGATCAGGGGACTGGAGCACCTCCCATATGAAGATAGGCTGAGAAAGTAGGGGCTGTTCAGCCTGGAGAAGGCTGCGTGGAGACCTCGTAGCAGCCTTCCAGTATCTGAAGGGGGGCTACAGGGATGCTGGGGAGGGACTCTTCATTAGGGACTGTAGTGGTAGGACAAGGGGTAATGAGTTAAAACTTTCCTGTTAGGGTGGTGAGGCACTGGAATAGGTTGCTCAAGGAGGTTGTGAATGCTCCATCCCTGGCAGTGTTCAAGGCCAGGTTGGATGAGGCCTTGGGTGATACGGTTTAGAGCAAGGTGTCCCTGCCCACGGCAGGGGGGTTTTAACTAGATGATCTTAAGGTCCTTTCTAGCCCTAACTATTCTATGATTCTATGATTCCTCTTCTCTCCCCTGCACATTAATTGATTGCATATTATTATTTACTTGGTTATTTCTGGATTCCTTCATAACATGAGAATTGGGCATGTCAAAACCTTTGTGTCAGACCAAACCCAAAATATAAGTTAAAAAAAGGTATTTGAATGGCGTTTCCTATCCTTTGATTCCTAAAGCAAGCTGCTCAGGGTGAAGGCATCAGAAATGAGAAGGCCATTTTAGATTGAAATAATCTGCTCTGTTTCTCCAGCACTAGGGAGTTTTTTTTATAGCTGCTGAAAGTCAAGAACCCTTATGAAGCTGTTTACTTGGAGGATTCTATCGAGATCAGAGGTGCAGAAGAAATTGTAAGGGTCATAAGCTGACAAGAAGTAAGTGATACCATCTTCACATCCAGGTGCAGAACAAAATGCATTTGCTGTTTAATGAGTGGCATGTTGCAAGTCTTCCCCCATGAGTGGTGAGAACAGCTGAAGATGAACCTAAACCTGGGTGCAGGTCAGTAAATTATGGCAATGTAATTTCCATATTGGATGTAGTCTACACATTTTCTCACTGTAGAGCCTGTTGCTCCTTCAACAGTGCTGGGCCTTTCATTGTTTAAGGGTTATTTGCTGGTGGAAAAAATCTGACAGAAAATTACTTATGATAACTATCATATAGGTGGCTAAACGGTCCCTTGGGTTTTACAAGCTCATTTTAAAGTTCCTAGGTACCAAAAAAAGCTTTTGTTTTTAAGAACTGTGCTTTCTAATTCTAGAATATAAACAATATAATTTTGCAGGTTACATCGCAAGATCAGTGTTATTTCATAATATGCATATGTATGCTTCAGATAAATCTTTCTCCATTGTCTCAGGGTGTTTTGTTTTCAGTGTTTTCTGCTTGCCTTTATGCACAGAGCTTGCACAATTACTTTATGTTATCTTTCCTTGCTCTCATTTCCAGACTTAAAGAAATAAAAAAGAAAAAAAGAAATCAACCTTCCCTCTACTTATGTTGCTAATTAGAAATGATGGTTTTCATGTGACAGGGGAGGAAGTATGAATTGGAACAAGAAGACATAGTTTATATTGGAAAGAGGATTTATTCTTTTAGGTTAAAGAAATACAAGTGATTAGTTGTCTTTGTGATGTTCATACAGCATAATTACCTCACAACACAGCAGTAAAGAGTATTATTGAGCTTGCTAAAATTCCGAGTGTAGAAAACCAAAAACCATAAATCCCTGCCCCAACCAAATATATCTGGCTTCTTTTCCTTCAGCTGTGGACATGAAGCCCTAATAAGTATGTGCAGCTTGGTCAGGGAGTGTGGATGGTCTCATTACTGCCCACAGCTGGGCTAAAATCAGGAAACATGGGAACACCTGTGACCACAGGGCTGGGAGGGGCACTGAGGTGAGTTCTCTGCTACCAGTCAGTGGCTGTTTTTCTTATGGGGAGGTCTGTTGAGGGGTGAGAGCAGCCTAAGGGGAGTCTCTCTAGACAGGGCAGTACTAGTTAGAGGAGTGTGTTCAGGAGCGGCAGGGTGCAGCTGAGGGGATGATTGTGGCACATGGGTCTTCAGGACTTGCAGGTCAGTTCCTGGGCTGGCTCTCAGTAAAACTTGAGTTTTGCTCCCAGTCTCTCTGAGATATCAGCAGGGATATGTCCAGCACAACTGGGACATGCCCTGAGAGAGGGGGAAAATGGTGTCAGGGAGGAACTGCCAGCAGGAAGGTGGAAAGCAGCTAAGGAAGATGGTGGCAGAGGAGGAGAAGCAGTTGTCCATTCTGGGCTCTGGTAAGGCAAAGAAAGACTTTCTTGTTTCTATTTTCCATGCAGAATTAGAGTTCTAGGGGATAATGGAGGTGGGCCCTGTTTTTGTGGTGCGAGTCATCCTCTTCTGGGTTAACCTGGTGGGAGTGATCCCCCCTGTCCTCAGGGAGAAGGGGTGGCACCAAACAAAATGAATCCCACATCCACTAAAAGGTTTGTGTTACTGTACAAATTAAACCTTTGAGGGAATCGTTTGAGATTCAACAGTTGACTGTTGGAATTATTTATTTAGAGAGCTACATTTTCTAGCTTGAATCCCAGCTTGTGATGCAAAATACTATGAAAGCTTGTGAAATGAGGGATAACAAGGAATAGGAGGTCTCATCAGACTCGTCAGAGTAACTTTTGTTGTTATAAATCCTGATCTAGAAATAAATTTAGCAAAGATAGTGATGATGCATGCTGGGTTTGTTCCTCTTTTGTGCTGTGCACTAGCTGTATTTTCCATTAGCCAAAGAAAGAAATATAAAGCTACCGAATGAATGGAGGTTGTTATGAATGTTGTGGTTTGCTGAGAGAGTTTGATGCTTGTGATTAGATTCATCAATCATCACCCCTTAGCTTTTAGCTGATCATAACTTTCATTTGTAAAAAGTTAATTCCCCCTCTCCACCCCTAAAATCTGAACTGGCCTCTGGAGTTGAAAATTATTATGTCTTCTCCTGCTGCTAAGATGCTCTCCCTCACTGATGTCAGTCTGAGTAACTGAAGTACTAAGTATGTAATTTCTCTGTTAGGTTCCAGTTGCATGGCTGTGCTGGATGGCTAAGAGAATGTGAGAGGATGAAAGAATAATCTGAAATTATTTGACAAACAACACAAACCGAAAACAATAAAGATATGAATTTTAGCTGCTTTTTCTCAGAAATTTGTTCTCTGATTTTTTGCTTTTTTGAGGCCATTCCAAAATATCCACCTGCATCCACCTCTAGAAAGTTCTAAGTTCTTTATGAGCTGTTGTCTGCTAGTGTGTTTGGACAGACATCATGGAATCTGTGTAGCCTGTTTACAAATGCATACAATTCAAGTAAGTATTTAGGCTGTCAAGTGTCTGACAAGATGCAGATGTGTTCTTTTGCAGGCATTAGCACCATATGAATTACAGGTTGTAATGTACTGTCGTTCTGAAAGGAACTTGTACTTCTCAAACTAAAGAAAGGCGAGGGGCCTCAGCAAGCTTCCTGTGTTGAAGGATGAAGTATGTGATGTGCTAATTGTTTCATTCAGGGAAGCCTAGTTTAAAAAAAATATATAAATTACTTATGCAAAGCCAGGACACAAACCTTGCATGTGCGCTTAAGCTGTGAATGTCTTCAGGTTCTTGGGCAGTTAGATCCCAGTGGAGTCATCACCTGGTATGTAGTGTTGCAACTAGCTAGATCAATAAATTTTCACCTTCATAATGTATAATATGCTTCTTTAAGTAAGGTTGTATTTTCATCTTCAGATCTCTTGCTTCGCTATTGATTTTGTTGTGAAAAATCACTCTGTAGAAGTAATTAACTTGCCTGGTAGGTTTAAAATATATTTGAATGTAAAATAAAATGAGGGTTAAGTAAAGATATTTTGTATTCTTAAACATGACAAAGATACATGTTTATATTTTAGTTGCATCATTTTACATCCCTTATATTGCTGTAGATTTATTTATTGTTGGTATACATTATGCCGATTCAAAATATTTTTTATTTTATAAGTAAGCTTAGTCTGCCAACAAAATTGTAAGAGAATGAATGCTAGATTTGAATAAGATTTTGTGCTTAGTTTTGTTTCTGTCACCTTCTAGCTTAATTTTCTTAAACTTTGGACTATATAAAGAAATGGTCTCTAGAGCCAGAATCACTTTTAATATCCAGTTTTAGAAGTGAGCTTTATTTCTATTGCCCTGAGCTAACAGAAAAGCATGATTCCTCTAGAGGCTGTTCCAAGCAACTCTGTGAGAAAAGAAATATTTCAGGAAACAGATTATCCCTGACAACTATATACAGCTGTCTGATAGAGCAACCTCCTCAGATGCCATCCATGTCATAGGATTTTTTTGGGCTCTAATCTTCTTACTTTTACAGAATCCAGTTTTGTATTCCATTAGTATGCATGTGTATATTGTAATAGACTACAAAAACGCTGCATGACCTACTTACTGAGAACCTGGTTTTACATCCCATTAGTGGGCATGTGCATTCACAATAATAGACTTTTAGAAACACTGTGTGACCCATTTATTCTGCTTCATCAGTAACTCCCTATGTAGTGTGTGTGTGTATGTATCTTCTTTTTCATTGTTTGAGAAAATATGAGAAAACATTGCAATGCTGAATAAGAGTTCTGTGCTGTTTGAACTGCTTAGACACTAATATGTACTTGTTTTGCGTAAAATAATTCATGATACTTGAAGGCATTTGCAGTTTAAGAAAACAGCACATAGATAAAGCAACCTGCACTTTGAGGAGAATTAATATTGCAGTGTAACTTGACCTATTTTTAATGGGATCCTTCTCATCTTGCTGATTTATGATTCCCTGTTGAGCTCACTCATGCCTTACTTGATTTGGTTTTCTCTAAGACTTACTTAAGATGTTGAACAAATAGGAATGCCCATACATGAAGAAAGCACCTAATTTTTTTTTTTTCTTAGTGTAATTCCTGATTATTGTGAAGGGTGACGTATTTTGTTTGGAATCTGCCACCTGCATGTGTCTTTTGGTATGCTTTATTTTCCATTCCAGCCTTGATTTTATAGACTTCTATCAAAATTATCTCTCAATCTTAAAAACCGAGGAGTCCTTGTTTATCAGACAGAATACAAAACAATTTATTACCTTTTCTCATCTTTGTCAGCCTTCTTTGCGCTATTTGTTGTTCTATTTAATCTTTTTGAGGACAGGGAGACCAAAAGTTGATGGTATTTAAGACAGAGTTCCCCATGAACTGCATAATAGTGTTTTAGTCTTTTGTTTTCTTTCTTACTGCTACCTAAACTTCAGTTTACTTTTTTGACTGATATTGAACAGTAACATGGTGGCTTCATGTAATTAACTATTATAATCCTGGATTGGAAATCCAAGTGAAGGAGCTCTTAGCTAAGAGCTTATTGCATATACCAAGTGATTACTTCTCTATTTGTATCATGGAATGTTATTTAAATTTAACCTTAACTGCTGTGATCTTTATTTCTTTTGCCCTGTATATTTTCAAGGAGATAGTGTCTTGTGGTACAGTGGCATCCTTGGAGTGTCCCCAAGGCAGCATGGGTTTAGATGATCTGTGCACTGGTCAGTCTGCTTTCAGACATAGCCCTGGAGTGTTTTACATCCTGAATCAGAAGCGTATGGTAGTGGTTTTATAATATTGCTTTCTTTGTATCACCCATACTGATGGGGAGACTGTGCACTGTATGAAATGGGACTTGAAAACTTTAGGTTATCCCTTAGGATTATAATCTGTGTGGGATAGAGTTATCTTAGGACCAGCTGTGCCACTTAAATGGATACAGTGGTCTGACCCTGGGTTGACTCTGGGCGTATTAACTTGTTGCTGGTGTGAAGTTAATCCACTGAACTAACTGTACATGATTCGGGGGTTTTACATTGTCCTTCTGAGGCAGAAGAATTTGCATGGAGGAATTATACAAAATCATACAGATTGCTTTATTGTACCTCAGCACATAAATGCTTCCCCTTTTATTATATTAGTGGGGCTTATTTATTTATTTTTAACCTAAGCTAATTTATACCTATGTTCATTAATTGCAGCACTGGAATGTTTAGTGTAATAGGAAAAGTTGCTCTGTTGAGAGTGGCATTGTAAGATCTATGTTGTAGCTAACTCCTGATGCATAGTTAATACATTTGATCTGCAGTTAATCACCCCATGCTTATAGGGAATGGTACTTTATTAAATACTTTTTCTGCCAACAATATGTTATCAACAAAGCTAATATGTAGAAGATGGCCATTTTGTTCTGACTTTTCCATTTGGGAACTCAGAGTGTGAAGAAATCAACAAAAGAGATGGGAAAATTGTTAGGAGCTACTGCTATCTAAGCATCTCTTTAGTCTTTCAAAACATAGCGCGTCTTTCCTTGTGTTGCTGATAAATCATTCAAAGTAGTAAATGTTATATGTCTCAAATAAGTGGATGTGTGACCTGGAAAGATGCTAGATCAGTCTTTAGTTTGTCAAGGTACATTGTATGAGGTGGTTGATCCATTTGATATGTAGTGACATGATATAAACAAAGCTTGTCTATGCCTGCTTGTTTAAGGAAACCAATATTATTAATGCTTGCATGTTTTGGAGTCCAAATATTAAGCTCTCAGTCTTGTAATGAGAACGTGTTTTAAAGTCTGAAACTGAAATAGATTCAATAGGAATAGCTGTTTTACATAAACATGTTATTGTTTAAGTCTGTTAATCATGTAGGGAAGTCTTTACTGTATTGAACTTTTCACCACCATAAACCTGAGTTACAAAGAGGAAATAACCTCTCTTTATATGGAATAGTATTGTTTAAGTTGGGAAAGACCTGTAAGATCATTGAGTCAAACCATTAATCCAGTTCTGCCAAGTCTACCACTAAACTATGTCAGTGCTTTTAAATACCTTACTGGATGGTGACTCAACCACTTCCCTGGGCAGCACATTCCAATGTGCTTGACAACTGTCAAGATTTTTATCCAATTGAATTGAATTTTAATTATTTTTACTGAAATACACTCGTTTCCTCTTGAATATCGCAACAGCTGCTGTTCAAATATGCTTTTAAAATATAACTTTTATAACTGTTTTTATGTGTTGGCTGTGATTTTTGTATTTATTTATTTATTTATTTATTTATTTATTTATTTACCTGACTTAGGGTGGGTTATTAGAGAAATAACCTACCAGGCAGCTGGCAACAAAGTCATCTCATAATTTGTGGGGAAATAGTCAGTACTAGTGCTCCCATTTTGTGGTATGGTTTTA